GAGAGAGCTTTCTTGAACAGGAAGCTCCACCGGAAAACACAGTACGCCAGCTATCTGAACTGCTTCTTCGTGACTGTGACTCCTTCGAGGAATGTCGAGCCTTCTTATGCCCACAGTCAGCTGTTACTGTATTTCACGTACTGATTGACATTTTCAAACGCATGGAAAATGCCATATTTCCCATCTCAGTGAGGACAGCTAAAGTGGTGGAAAAACTTGTGCTGATGGAGCCCGTGCACCCTTATGACTTCAAATTGGCCGACGTGCTCTACAAGGAATCAATGGCCTTCTGCACCGATACAGGCGGGAAAGGCCATACCGATAAAAAGGTTAAACAGCCGGATAATATCGTGGACTTTTTGAGTACTTTCTATAACTGCAGCTATGTGGGCAAACAACAGAAATGGCGTCTGGTTAACGTGTTCAATAAACGCATTTTTCACGACCTGCATCTAATTGAGAGTAACCTGCGGCGCAATACTATAAGGTTTGTTCTAAAAAACTTTCTGCACATCGCTCGCCGCTACGTAATATCGAATCTCATAACACTGAGGAGAAAACGCGACGAAACTTGGACCTTGAACACTATCACAACACTTCCTCATGTCACAGAGTTCGTTTTGAAGACCATCGCAACCAACTTTGCACCACACTTCTTTCGGTTTCATCCTACAACTTGTCTGCAGGCGGATCTGGCCATCCGGCTGATGATCAACATTTTTTGCGCCAACACTGACCGGGCATGGATGCCGAAACAACCATTAAACTCTATCCTTATTAATATGGAACCGTCGCTGTGTCATGAGCGTTGCGTCTGTGGACGCGGTGAAGTGGGGGGACAGCATTCTCTTGCCAAGTTTGCTCATCTGTAAACGATAATGTTTGGCCGACGGGAATGCGGCCGCTGGATTTTTGTGCATATGGAACCTTGTGCTAGCATTCCTTTGAATGCAACCAACTTGGGTTCTACCTTGCAAATACTGCGCCAGTACACTTCACTTGCCTATGAGTCCCCTGAGGGCCTGATTTCCAGCTTTTTTTATTTTAATCTTTCTGTTAGTCCAGTTTTAGTCAACTGGGTAGCTGGCGCAGCATTGAACTGACTTTGGCTAACCTGAGAGTCCGGGGATTTTGCACCGTTAAGAGAAGATGACTTTGCGGGACATTAAAAACTCCCTGTTCAAACCAGGCTTCATTTAGCCATTCTGACTTACAGAACAAAATTCGAAGTGGTTAAAACCCTCGGAAATGCATCATTTCACCGCACAAAATTCATGGCAAACCGATATCCTCGTTTGCAGTTCACTTGCCAATGACGA